GTAAGTAAAACATTGATATATAAATATGTGTCGAACATAATGGAACTCACTGATTACTCACATATCTCAACATGGAATATCTGAACTGCAGAATACAAACCTGTGCATTTTGCAGAAGAGACATCTAAATGATACACAGTGTTGATCAGAGGGTCAGTTTTCTTGGTCCACATCCCATCGCCAGCAATGGAACATCCACACTGACTAGCACCATGAGTCATTCAGAATGTAGATTCAAAAACAGAGTGTTCCAAAGTCAACAGGTGCAAGAAACACACAAAAGAATTGACCAAGACTTTTTGTATACGTTTCCTACAACACTAAAACATACATATTTCTAATATAGATATTAATACTATTTAATACGAGAAGGGAAGGATATTTTGGCATTGACGCTTGAGTCTAAATGTTACTAGGTATTGAGCATTTTGGTTCAAAGCAAACATTGTTTGTGAAATGTTATAGATAATATATTACCTAAAACCTTAGCTGTTATTTTTTTAATTGAAAAAATTCAATATAAAAATACTACTTTGTTAAAATATACAGTATGTGTATCATACCACTTTGGAAAATCCAGCTCACATTTGAAAGCAAATAACATCATCTGGACTGGTATATGTTACTGGCTTCCTTAAATGTTACAAATTTTATTCTAAAATTTTAAAATATAGAATATAAATAAAAGAAATGAATCTGAATCAAGTAAAAAAATTTTAAGAATTGTTAATAAATTCCTACACTATTGCATATGCTATATTTTAGTTTGCAAATTCTTTAAGCTATATGATACAAGCATAGCTTCAAAGCTGATAAAGTTTAACATCTAGTACTTATGTATGGACGACAGCCATCAAAGAGAGTATGGTATTTTCCCAGAACGTCAAATTACTCCAGAGTTGCGTCAACCTTCTACCTTCTTTAAAAGTGTTTATATTCCGCTCTGCTGTGTGGAAGAGAAGGAATGAATTGGCAGGAAAGCCACCGTTAGGATATTGCACATTTCTTCCCCAAACACTGTTTTTCATTTATCCCCAACCAGTGTAGATACAGCCTAAATCATTTACATCGCATGATTTAGCTTAAAAGTCATCCTTGACTGCAAATCTGGATCCCAGGGAGTGTGCCATTTCACTCATATGTTTAACAGGGGGATTTGCCAGACCATAACAGAAGACACGAGTTCGTCCTGTCGTGGCTGCCTGGGCTTCCTATTCACCCGTCTGTGGCCCTGCCCTCCACAGACCACTAGCACTGAGCTGGCTTTCGCTCTCTTGAATCGCTGTGTTTTGCTTTTATGTGAGATGTGTGGATCCTTCAAGAGGTCATAAATGATACTGTCCTCTGACTTGTGCTCTAGAGAGCTGGAGCCATGAGACAAAGTCAGGGACCCAGAAGATGATGACAAGTCACTCTTTTGGGTCATTGAGCCTAGGGGGTCTCCCAACCAAACGGCACCATCAGGATTGCTGGGACTTAGGCAAGAGCTGAGTGCCTCGCTCGGCAGCATGTCCTTCTGGTCTTCATCCTGGGGTTCAGAACTGGGGGGCAGGCTATCTCTGGACTTGTCTTTGCTTTTCTTGTGTAAAGCCGCAGCTGTCAGAAGAAACTTGACTGGGCCATTGTGTGCGTGGTAGGAGACCATACCTCTTCCTAGGAAGCAAAAACATTTAAATAATTAAAAAAAAAAATTTCATAGAAATAAACAAAAATTACGTAATTTAGGCACAATATATCTCCTCGCTCTGCCAGAATAACATAACCCTGTAAATACAACACTTGAATGTTTGCTTAAAATAAAAATACCTTCTGGTTTTACATACTTGCAGATTTTTATCTAATTTGAAGAAATGTTTAAAAATGGTGATCTAAAATAGAAAATTTGCATTTTCTTCAATAGTATCTCATTTCCAGCGTTCACATTCCATGTAGTCATTTTCCTGTTCTCTGCACAAACACCTTCTAACTTGCTCTATGGAAATACATTTGATTTTCCTAAGTTTTGATTAAAAGAAGTAAAAGCCTAAAAATGTGTCAGTTTCAGGAACAAAATGTCTAAACCACCAGAAACCTCCTTACATTTTTTTATTACAAAAATGTTCTGAGGTTTAGAACAAGTTAATTCTATAGTTTAATTAGGACTTTTCATTTCAAAAGCGATGTGATTCAAAATTTAAAATCATCTCTGACCTAAGAGCACATGTCAAAACCACAATAGATCTTTTTATAAAACACAGACGCCCTAAGTGTCAGCAGGGACTGGGGTACCCGCACTTTTTAAGCACTTCACAAGTGAACTGACACAGATATAGGACACACGTGCCCTTGTCACCAAATGCTATAAGGCTGAAACAAGGCCCTACCCCTTAGCATTATCCTGCTCTGACCAGCACAGATTAAATTATAAAATTCTTTAACCCCGGTTAAGATTCCACGCCTCAGTCAATAGACTGGCAAGATTAAAAATTAAAAAATTTAAAATAATCTAACAATGACAAGTGCTGGTGGGAATATGGAGTGATAACAATGCTCATCTCCTGATGATGGGAGTGTCATTTAATATAACAACCCGGGAAGACATTTTTACATTACCTAGTAAAGCTGAGGAAACCCTGGTGGTGTAGTGGTTAAGAGCTACAGCTGCTCACCAAAAGGTTGGCAGTTGGAATCCACCAGACGCTCCTTGGAAACT